AGGGGAAACATAACCCTCATTTTTAAAAAGGGAAAAAAGTAAGACCCGGGAAACTACAGGCCAGTCAGTCTCACCTCTGTGCCTGGCAAGATCATGGAGCAGGTCCTCCTGGAAGCTATGCTAGGGCATGTGATAATTAAGGAGGTGATTGGTGACAGCCAATATTGCTTCGCTAAGGGCAAATTGTGCCTGACAAATATGGTCAGGCATTATATTTTGGAGCTGAGCAGTGTGTTCAGAACATTTGGTGGTTAAACAATTGCAGACTCCCAATGTTGGTGGGGATGTGAATGGGTTGACAAGGGAAGGTGAGGTATAGCAACAGCTTTCAGCTCATGCCACTTCTATGTGGGAGTCCTGGGTGGTGAGTTTGTATGTTGTTGCTGGGTCTGGCAAGGGTGAGTGTTACATGGACCATGTAACTCATGGAAAATTGATTATGAGCCACCAGTGTGCACTCACAGCCCAGAAAGCAAGCCATGTCCTGGGCTGCATCAAGAGAAGTATGGCCAGCAGGTCAAGGCAGGCGATTCTCCCCATCTACTCCACTCTCTTGAGACCCCACCTGGGGTACTGTGTCCAGCTCTGGGGTCTCCAACACAAGAAGGACATAGACTGGCTTGAGTGGGTCCAGAGGAGGGCCATAAAGATGATCAGGGGCCTGGAGCACATCTGGGGACACTGTGGGGACAGGCTAACAAAGTTGGGTTTATTCAGCCTGGAGAAGAAATGAAGCAGCCTTGGAATATTTAAAGGGGACCTACATGAAAGCTGGGGGGGGGTCTCTATCAGGGAGTATAGTGACAGGACAAGGGGTGATTGATTTTAAATTGAAAGAGGGTAGATTTAGATTAGATTAAAGGAAGACATTCTTTACTATGAGTGTGGAGAGACACTGGCACACGTTGCCCAGAGAAGCTGTGGCTGCCGCCTCCCTGGCAGTGTTCAAGGCCAGGCTGGACGGGGCTGTGAGCAACCTGGTCTGGTGGAAGGTGTCCCTGCCCATGGCAGGGTTTGGAACTAGATCATCTTTAAGGTCTCTTCCAATCCAAACCATTCTATTCTGTGATTTGTACTCTGTGGTGTACTTGGCCCACAACCAAGTGATGGGATCAGTATGCTTTTTCTGAGTTGTTTGTATGCAGTGGTTTGAGTGAGGGTGAATGTGCTGTCAGTTCCTGCCTGATTTGACTTTGTTGATGAGTACACTGCATTCTGTATTTGTGTGGCCATTGCACTAGACACTGAAAGCCACTGCAGTGAGCTGTTTGCAGGCTAAGGTCTGCACTTCAGTGAAAGGCAAGCTAGCAGGTCAAGCCAATGCAATCCATGAGAACAGGGCAGACTCAGCTGTGACCTGTACGGTCAGTTTTCAGTAATCTTAGCAGTGATGCACACTTCCGTCATGGTTAAGATTTTTAGGGAGAATTAAATTCTGTAACTGAAAGGCTGGCATTTCTCTAGGATTACTATAGGGCTTAATTAGATGAGCTAATAAAAAGGCAGTTTAAATCTACCCCATGTTTATTATCCCATGACAGAGTAATGAGTGAGGATGTTCTGATTATTCAGGCTAAGTAGGACATTTCAGTCCTTTTCCTGATGAACTTCATTACAAGTTCACCGTTTCCTACTCCACAATCTATGCTGTCATTAGTCACTTCATCATCTACTGTGCCTTCCAAGGCCTAAGGAGGTTTGTGATTTAAAGAATGCTGTGCTCTTCTGGCAGTGTTTGTACCAGTGTTGGAGAGGTAAACAATCTCTAACGTGGCCATTATTCGAGATTCTGTCACCTTTCACCTCTACCTCTGCTCTCCCCAGTGCTGCTTTCAGACCCCAACTAGGCAGCGTTCGTAATGAACGAGCCTGGCCTGTTTTTAAGGGCATTCTGTCTTTCTGTGCACTTCTTCATCAAAGCATGGAGAATGTTTGGCTTCCAGCTAACTGGTATGTTACTGTTAAATATAAAGTTGTCCATCTACAAAAAAATGCTTTCAGAAAGACAGTCTATAAACCGTTTTTTAGAGCTTCCAAACCATAAAGGGGACAACTGATCTGTAAAGTTCACTTTTATCCTATTAAAATTTAAATGGTTGTGAGTGATGAATAGGAACTCATCCTTTTCTTTTTCTCCTCTGGCTTTCCACCCAAAAAGGAAGTAAAAAATCCTCTCCATTTTTCAGCTGCAACCCATCTTCTTTTGCTTAGTAATGATGGAATAAACAGCTGAACTGAGCTGTGCAGTCTGTCTACAGATGCCACACTGAAAAGATCATGAGTAAGAGAAACCATTCAATGCATGTTGTGTCTTTTTAATGTAATGAAAAGCATATTGACAGTCACTGAGATTCCATTTAGACCTTTCATATATGTTGATTGATAGGTCCTCACTCTTGGCTGCATGATTTCTTCAAAGATAGGAATCTAAGGGTTGAAACAGTTGATTTTGTCAATGACAAGTTACTGATAGGATTCTGTAAGGAAATGCATGAGATACTGGTCTGTTCAACACATAAAGTAGTGGTTTAGAGAAACAAAAAAAGGATGCTTAGCAGGTAAATCCGATTGCTGGTAGCACTAGAGGTAGGTAATACTAGCACACTGGCTACAGATTGTTGCACCAGGAACCTCCTGTTACGAAGCAACAGATAAGCTACTTGGCAAATGAATCAGTTGTACACTGTGCAATCATTGCCCAGACACTCATTAACAGTGCTTTTTGGGGAAAAAAAAAACCTAGTTTTTTGGGATGTTGACATAAGGTAACACTTAGACAAACCATCAAGTCTCCCAAGCTGGATATCTGGTTGCTGCCTGGGTGGTTATGGAAGTCTGTGTTCCAATGACCCTTGCCAGTGGTGTCTTTGGCTGGATCAAACGAGACTCCCTGAACTGCTGTTTAGCTCAGTTTTAACAATGCAGCTAGTCCATGGTACTATATGACTATTGTAGCATACACATGATCCATTGCTGCTGATTATCTTGATTAATGTACACAGCATCTCCTATCTTAGCGATGTACAAAGCCACTATCCTATGTTACTATTTTGGCACCTGCAGGAACAATTTCTACAGTCTATTTATCATTCTGTGTACAATTTGACCAGCTCTGGAGCAGGAACAGCCTGGGCAGTCTCTAGAAGGGGCCAGATTTTCCATGCAGGTTGTGAATTGACTCATTAAAACACATTAATTAGTCTGTGCAAAGTGGAAGCTGCTTGCAGGACTCTTCAACATAGTCCAAAATGCCCACCTGGAGCGCTTCTGTGCCAGTTAGTCAAACACATAACTGCAAAGGCAGCTTGACTTCAGTCACCTTATTTCAAGTTGGTCCATTGTCTCATCTAGGCAGATGGCTAGCTGGGGAGTAGCTAGACCACCCAGGGAATTAATGGCGATATGTGGTGGGTGTTGCATAGGGGCACAGCTGTGCTACCCAACTGCACTGCAGTTATACCCATAGGAGAAGTTTGAATTTCATGCTTGTGACTTCAGTTCTGTAGTTCTTGCCACAGAGTCATGCATGTAGGAGAAAACAGTCCTAGCTTGGCACCTGCATTCCTTACAAACTCAGAAAAGCTGGTGTGAGCACTGATACTGTGAGACACTGAGGCTGGGAGTGCCAGAAAAGAAAACCTGACAAGCCAAAAGCAAGCCCTAGAAGAGAGGTAGACCTGTTAGGGTTGCCTGACCCTGCTAAAGGCAGAGTAATGAAACCTGGTTCAGACTAGTGACAGTTTGTGCTAGTGGCCCAAGTGAGAGACAGACCTTCTCTTCCTGACCCTGTGGCATCAGGCATTTGTTAGTTTGCTATTTTAAAGGCTCATCAGGGATGCGAGGTCTAACTCAAGGTTAGAGCCATCTAAGAGTGCTGCAGGAGGCAGGAGAGATTGGTGCCGTGGGGAATATTGTGGTGATTTCTTCCAGTAAAACAGGGAAGGTTGTCAAAGTGGGCTCCATATGCAGACTTACATAAGAAGATGAAGAAGTAGCTTGGTTACAGTCTAACAGAGTAGAAGCAAAGCTGAATAGCAGGGGAGTTTTCTGTTGTACTAGACAAACACGGAACATGATGTACCAGCTGGAAATTGAAGCATGACAAATTCAAATTATAGATAAGGTGTACGTTTTTAACAATGGAAGTAATCAACCTTTGGAACAACGTACAAGATATATATATATATAGATATAGATATATATATACACATGTGCAAAGATACTCTTTTAGTTGAAAATCTTTGTATCAGGATTGGAGACCTTTCTAAAAGCCGTGTTCCATTTTGACTACAAGTTATTGAGCTTGGTGCAGGAATTACTTGGTTTCATTTTGTGGTTTGTTCTGACTTTATACACATCTCAACATTAAATTCATGAATACTGATGGTATCTGACCAGATGCTGCAGGTTGGTATGAGAGGGAGATTTTGCTCTATGGATTCTGGTGTTGCACAATTAGTTCTTTCCAATACCCACTTCAGTCTTTTGGAAAGATGTCTTTTTTTTTGAGAATACTTTAATGTCTGTATAGGAGATACTGGAGTCTAGTCTGTAATGAATTAATTTTCTCAAAAAATTTTTCTGGAATGTTGTTGTTTTCTCTGATTCTCAATCCTGTGCACAGTGCATCTCGAATCTTTAGGTGAGGGAAGTTTATAATTAATAGTACCTATGGGACTAAAGAGTCGTCCTTCTCAACACTTCTCCTCCAGAAGACTATTGATTCTGTTTGCTATTTAAGACAAATTGTTCAGTCAAGTTCTATTCTCAGAATAATAACCAAGGTAAATTTTACACCCCACCCCACCCCAATTTTTTAAATAATGCTTGTACATTATTTTATTTATTAATGCATCATTTTTCTTTAATGCAAAACTGGCTAAATTGAACCCATTTATTGTAATGTTTCTGATTTTCTTTGAAGGTGTGTGAAAGAACAGACACCTAACAAGATGTAAAATATTACAAAAGGTGCTAAATATATTTTTCTGTTTTTACAGGCTAAAGCCTATCTAAAGATAGCTATGGAAATAGTAAGACGACTGCCAGTACCTCCTGCTTGAAGTGTTTATCACTGAAACTTACCAAAAAAGCGATCTTTTGGTGCGACCAATGCAGACGAGTCCGACCTAATTATATGGATGCCATATCTAAGAAGGTTTTTTTATGAGTTAATTGTGATATTCAGTTTTTCAAATCATTGTTTGGCCATGTACAAATGGACTGAAGCATGCAAAAGATGGTAGACAGCGTTTAACTGCTGGATTGTAACATCATCAAGCAAGAAGGGATGAAGTACGTTTTTCACATATGTACTGTTTTAAGGTCAAGAATTAAAACCAGCCACTCCAGCCAAGCAGAATGATGAGAGGGATGCCAAGGCATAAGTCCTACTTAAAAAATGACAGTTGCAATACTCTTAATTTCTGTCAGTTTTGGTTCAGTTTTGGTTAACTACCAAGTTGACCTTAAGTTCTGCAGATTTTAAGAAGCAAATTTAGTTATGTAACTGCAGTACTTTTGTGTTCATCTTCAAAGAAAATTTAAAAAATTCCACGTATACTCTGAATTCTTGTGATGGATCATGAGCAAATTCATTTATTATTGGATAATGTTCGATCATGAGGCAATTCACAGTTTAGTGGAGAATGGATTACATGACCCTGAGGCTTATTTCCTGAGTCCTTTTCATTGTAATGGACCCAGACAGAAGACTAGGTAACCAAGGTCTTCACTGAAAATCAGGTATTGTGCCCAAGCTTAGTCTGCCAGGGGATGCAAATGATCAAGATAAATTAAATTTATCATTGCATATTCCTATTACAGTGGAGCAACTTGGAATTTGAATATAAAGGTGAATTTGTGAAGTAAAAAAAAATTTGGTCTTCAAATTGTGTGGCCTTCTATTTTTTCATTACCTTACATTTCTGCAATCTTTATTTTTGTGTTGGTGTGTGGAAGTGGAAGAATATGCCTTCAGGGAATGAGTTTCCATTTACAGTTAGATGTTTGAGTTGACGTTTAGGCTTTTTCATTTACATAATCAAGTATGGGTATCTTATACATCTTAACTGTACCATACTGGGAATTTAACCATACTAGGGAGTTCTGCTGTTGACCTCTGTGGGACCAAGAATTTCCTGGTAGTCCAAATAATTGTTCATGATTTTGGATGTAGCTGTTTTTTCTTACTGAACTAATACAACATAAAAAGTTGGTATACATTTACATTAAGAATATTTAAGTAATACGTACCGAGAATTTACATGTGACGGCTAGACACAAATATGGGCTGAATTTCAAGCTTAGGTTATTTTGTAAACATGTAAATGTTATAGTCCAAAACTTGAATTTTTGCTTCAAGTCAGTCTCTGAATCTCCCTGCCCACACCCTGCCTCATGAGATCTCATACCAGTATTCAGCTTTTTCAGAAGCATATTATCATAGACCTATAGAATTGACACAAATATTCACTTCCTTTTAGTTGTCTAATATATCTTACAAAAATTAAAGCTGGCTTAGTGTTCTGCCCTTTCATATTTTATTGATAACTTAGTGGGGTTTTTTAAATTGAGCTTTATCTCTACACATAATATGTAAAGCAGAAGTGAATAAATAATGTGATTCTTGATATGTATATCTGTAAGTAATCCTGTGGTTTTGGCATAGCATAATCATAAATTTCAGTGGAAAAACTGGGATTCTGACTGGTTTTTATCAAATGACTGTGATACTTTATGAACTTTGGTGTTTATTATTTTTGTTCTGTTAAAAAAGAGTGTCTCTGACACCCAGTTCATGTTGAGACTGGGTGAACAATCCATATACAGCTTTAAGATTGTTTGTTTTCCATTTCTTTTCTTTCTCATTATTTCTTGGGTTAGTTGAGGGATGAAATTTTCTTATATTTTTACTCCTTTTTGCTTTTTCTTCCCCTTTTAATTAAGTATTACAGTTTTCATCTGTTGAATATTTTACCTGCAGAACTATTTCGAATGCCTTTATCAAGAAACTGATTATAATGATAGCTTATATATAGCTTCTTAGCCAATCTGAAAATTTAATTAATACTTCTGTGGAAGGATTGCACAATGTAGTAGGTGAAACGGAATTTATTGATTTAAAATTTTAATTGAAAAAAATTAAAAAAACAATTGTACAGAGTAGATAGGATATCTCTGCATTTAAGGATAGTGGTGCTCAAACCAAATTTAAATTGAGAGCCTCTTTGATTTACTTTCCTCATTCTCATGAGTGAAAAAGTATTTCCCATCCTTCCTCCTGCAAAGGAACTGAAGAGCATTGGCACAGTGTTATTGCTACTTAATGTTATAAAACACATACTCATTTTCTTTTTTTGTTATACTGTATACTGTTAAATACATATTAATGAATTCTAGTCAACATACTAGATTTGACATTGTAGTTCATTAAATCCCTCATGTAAGTTATTGGATTGGGAGTGGTGGTGGTTGGATCAGTCAGAGGTTGAGCAGGAGACAGTGGCATTTAACCATAGTTTGTAAATATAGATTATAGACTTGACACATGGTGGTGTTTGCTCTTTTCCACTCCAATATTTTACTTTCATTTCTGTGATATTTCCTAGTGTACTAGTGCATTTTATCTAAAAATGCTAATCCTAACAATAGGACCTGGCTTTCCTGAGCTGTATGGATGGGTAGGTGCTCTTTGCTCAGGAGCAATGGAGACTTACTGCAAAATTACTGTGATCACGGGGTACCACCACAGAATTATTAAAAGTCTGTAGTGCTGTAAGCTGCAGTTACATGCTGCAAAATCCCACAGAGGAAGAGAAAGAAAGAGTAAGGCTGGGGAGGCATGGAGCCAAGCAGGGAGGAGTGGGGACAGACGCGAATATCAGTCCCAGGTTATCTCCTGTGTAGGTTAAGAGCAAGATTCTGATGATCACCTTGCATCACTGTCAGAGTTATTTTTGTTTTCACAACACGAGCCTTTGTATAGTGACCACAGTTGTTTGCAGATAATTCCTGTTGTTTCTTGGGTGAGGAGCCATATGGGCTGTGCCTTAACACAGTGCATTTCATGGCTCTCAGAAGTTTCAGTTTTGACAATACTGAAGCTGAAAGAGGATACAGAATTGTTTGTGTCAGTGAAGTATTTTGCTATAAAGTTTTTACTGATGTGTTCATGTCATTGTGAACTGTTTAGCCTTCGAGACTATGGTTTGTACAATCCTTCAGGTGTTACATTACACAAAACAAAATAATTTCTAATTGTTATTTGAAGTTATGAGAGAGAAGTAGTTTGCAAATCAGTTTATCTCTACTAATTCAATTTGAGCTTAAACTACCTGCCATTTTAGCTGTTCAACACCATGATCACCAGTCAGAAGTAAGTGATGCACAGAAAGTGTGTCAGACGCAGGTCATCTTCAGTATATTAACAAAAAAAATTAGTAACTCTAAACTCACTTCGAGTCACTTGGACTCACTTGGATCCAATGCACCAGGTGAATCCCCCCATAATATCTTTCCATTGGTAAGTATATGGTTTTCACCTGGACCTACTCAAACTCCTTGATGGGTTTCTCCTGTTTGTGGCGCTGTTAGTGCCGATTAGAGCAGGCTGTGATCCGAGGCAGGTGCTGCATACTGGTTTGTTGGTAAACTTTGTTCAGACTATTATTGGGGCCCCTAATGTAAACCAAAGACTGCAGTCAAGGTGGGAAAAAAGGGAGTAAAGAAGGGATGAGACCCTGCCGTAATATTCAGCTTGCAGGTTCAAGAACATATGTGGGAGAAAAACAGAAGAGCAGCAACAAGAAAGGAACTCTTCTGTTGCTTAGGTGAAAGATGAAAGAGCTGTGAGAGACTCTGCAGGCTACAGAACTGACTGCAAAGGCTAAGGCACCAGAGATGCTGTGCGACAATATAAAGGGGATTTTGGTACTTAATTCATCTGTGTAAAGCTTCTGTCAGAGCATCCCCAACCCCAAGACTGGCACATGAGCTCCGTATCTGAGTCCCCAAGTTGCAGGTACCGCTTCTGTCCTTCCAGGTATCATTAGTGGGGGCAGAATCTCCATGCTTACTTTTCCTGCAGTACTTGCTCAAGGTGCAAGAAACTTGTTCTATGCCTGGCTTTGGCTGAGGGGATCCAAATTCATAGATCCTAAACTTAGGGGAGGTTCTCAGCCACCGGGTTTAGTCTTTACTAAGGACCATCAAGGAGTGCTCATCACTTCCTCTATTGCTGTAGTGCTTGTGGAAGAAATAAGGAACATAGTCCTAATCACAGCTAAATATTTTTTAGCCTAATATCTTGGGCTGGACTTTTATCCTTGCTCCCAGTCTTATTGATGACTTTTACCTAATGAGTTTGCGAATAGAATGATCAATCCTTAGAATAACGTCTGTCACTTTAGCTGCTTACAGATGAGAAAAGGCTCTGGGGTTCTGCTTTTGGATTTTGATACCCAAATGTCATTTTAGTTTCTCATGGCCGCATCTGGGCCTATATTGTGTTTTCATTTTTATGTACCAGGAATGCTTCCTAGCAGAGATGGTTAGGGGAAAAGGCTTCTGCTTAAGGACGCTTGACAATAGGATGAATCTGAATTGCTGATTTAATTTCAGAATTGACTTTTAATGGCAGGAGTTATAACAATTATATTTTATTTTGGCAGCATATCAGCCAAGGCACTGGTATGTCAGCCACATATCACAGAAACACAGCAAAAGAAAAAAAATCATTCCAAAAGTAGTTTTCAGCCTAAATTTAAGACTTATCTTTTTTTTTTACGGGCTCTGTTTTACATTATAAAGATACTAAGTCTGAAGAACAGGTATATTCAAAGGTCTGTATTTTTCCATTATCTTCACATATTCAGGGAGGCTTTCTTTTTTTTTTTTTTTTCCCAGCAAGAAGAGGACAGGCACAGCTTGTCATACGCACCTATTCCTCTCAGTTTCTCTATTTGTATGAGTCTGGATCTGAACACCCACTTTAATCAACGCAAATAAGTGACTTCTTTGTAGTACATGAGTCTTCAAATAAGCTAGTGGGGGGGAAGAACATCTGTTGTCCTTTAACACTGTTTTGAGGGTTTACAGATTATTTAAAGTGTTTTCACTCATACCACTGGGATTTTCTAAAACTTCTGTTATTTCCTGTGGTCCAGAGGTTTTCTCTTTTCTATGAGAGAGAGACAGGAGACTCCCCACACTTGCCTCCCCCATGTATGCTTCCTGTTACTAAACAAGGTCTATTTTAAGAATACAGATTTCTGGTTACTTCTGAAAAGTGTTCCTTTATTTATAATGACTTTCTAATGTTAGTTATGAGTACTTTTGGTTTTTACTTTCAGGGATTTTTTAAAAATATATTAATATTTAAGGAATACTATAATTTTTTTTTAAAGCCCAGTTTGGCTGCATACTTGGGAGAAATAAACAGGGTGAGAAACTGTCTTACTAAGCCAAACCCATATTCTGTAGATTTAATTTCAGAATGTTCATCCAGCATGTAAATATTGCAAATATTTTTACATCTCATTAAGGGAAACTGTTAAAATGAATAAAAGTTCAGGAGCCTGAACACTTTCCTGCTCCGCAATAAGCATTTTGAGGATGGCGTGGGATCTGTCTGTAGTCTGGTCAGACAGGCCAGGGTGAGTTTATGTGTTGTTTTATCTGCTGAATCAGGAAGTTTCTACATGTCTCTCTTCAGAGGAGGAATTTCCATGTATAAACGGGCTTTTGTCTATGATACCTTGAGGCCTCTAATTAATTACATTTCAGATGGAGTCAGGAGGATTTAGGTTCACACTCCCCACTTCCTCCCTGCACTATAATAGGACCTAATGGCTATTTTGGAGAGTTACTTTTTAAAACAAGTGTTAAAAGG